TACTAGCAGTTTCATACAGATATTTGAGAATACCAGGCAAGATGGACCATACCACAACTGTTACAAGGCTTTACAAAAGTCACCCTGCACAAATCCCTCTTTGGAACAGATTTAACAGATAATCAGAGTTGGAAGGGACCTTATAGGTTATCTAGTCCAACTCTCTGCCCAAGCCGGAGACCCTACACCATTTCTGACAAATGGCAGTCCAATTTCTTCTTGAAAGTCTCAAGTGATGATGCTCCCACAACAGCACCACAGGTAGGAATGGAACCACTATGAAACAATGCCTCCAAGTTTCAACTCACAGAGTTACCTCAATATGATTCTACATCAACAGCATCAAAAACTGCTAAATAGAAGAATCAACAGAATGATACTGCCTTACTCCTATATAAGGTTAATTACCAAAGTAACCAAGCTATTTTCTATGCTGGTCTATGATGGATCCAGAAAAATCTGCAACATCCATTATTACCACAATTCACTAGTTATCAGTTCATCAAATCCTGTCCAAAAATGGAATGTTGACAGTAGATATTTCTGGATCCTCTTCAACCAAGGTCAGATCACTGATATCTTCAAATCTGTTGTCTTCTTTCTTTCCATTAATGTGACATCCATTACTCTCTTAACCCATTCCAATATTTTTAACCAGCTTGCTTGTGAGACTCACTAAGAACAAAGATCAAAAGGGCAGATAATCAAGAAAATAGCTTGAAGTACTTTGTCAATCTCCTCAAGTCTCACTGGTGAAAGTGATTCTATAGTAAATAATCATATGGTGTGTTGACAAACTCTCCTAATTTTGGCAGACTTTAGCAATTTTGCCAATAAAGTGCATGACAAAGTCATTGTTTTGCTTCTGCCAGCAAGAACTTGACTGTATAATTCACAATCTTTGGAAAAGTTCAGTGGGACACAGTGGGTTCTTTGACACCATAATTAGTGCTATGAACACAAACGTTTTTGCCCTCATAAGTACCCCATACATATTAAGTGCAATTATATTCATATTGAGACTTTTAATTTATATATTTCAGTTATATCTCCCCCCATTTCATTCCTGTGTGCTTTTCACTAAACAAAGGAGCCCTGTGAACTCTCACTACTTCTATGATGAAGGTTTCAATAGTGGAGGAGGGATGTTAAGTTGATCAGAAAACTCCATAAAGCTTTCAGGAACTGCTACAATTTCATAAGTCTTAGGAAGCATGCTAGATCCTAACTCCTGAAGATAGAATTGGCAATCTGTCTAGTTCATAGCAGGAAGTAATCCAGTCATGACAGAGAAGTAACTTTTCCTCTTTAACTATCACTTCACTTTCCAGCAATTGAAAAAAAAAAGATAAACCACTGCATAGTGATCCAGGATCACCCGCATGGGCATTGAGATCCATAAGCACCAGTCCTAAGTTTCTAAGAACCATATTGGAGAGCACCAGTGTAATCAATTGTTGGACTAGCAACAAAGTACTCAGTTTCCCTGTCCCCCATCCCACCACAAAGTATAGTTGCTGAAGAATCTGATTAATGGAGAGGGAATGTTTTCCCTACAGATGACTGTAATTCTACCTCACAATCTACCTTGATGCGGTACAATATCTCCAGGCAGGCTTATATGGGTTAAATTCAGGCCACCCAGCTCTCCTATTCTGGTCTCTATAACATAACCAGACCAGACTGCTGATACATAAGAAGATCATGGATAGAAAATACTTTTATAGTGAACTAATCTGGCATTCAGCAACTGAATCAGGAGATGTGTAAACCAACCGGTTTGACTATTAGATCTTGGTAACTCAGACCTAAGAGTAGCCCTAAGGGTACTATATCTTCTGTGTCTGGGAAGAATGTTACAACCCCAACCCCCTTTCTTTTTCCTGGCCCACAGGTTGCCTATCCCTTGAGTATTGCAAGAAAATATGAGTCCAAGATAACCAGCAGGTGCACCCTACTAATGATGGCATCCAAACATACGTTTGTAGATTTGGCTGAGTTCCTAATCCTTTAACAGCAGTCTGATGTGCAATAATTAAACATGTATAATAATTAAACATGTACTGGGATGAAGAAAAAGTGATGGGGAAAAATTTCACTTGCTTCATTTCCTCCCACTCCAGGTGGTGAAGATATATTACCCATCAGGTTACATAATCAAGTTAGGTTGCTTTTGCAGTCCTTGGGAGTGTAGACTTGAGAGGTTTACGAAAGCCGCACTTTCGTTGGCTGCCTTCCACTATCCAGTATCTGGAAAGACTTTCATTTCAAAACACACAGAACAAGAAGAAGCAGCTCCCTCTTACTGAGATCAAGCACACAAGATGCTATTTAAGCTGTGAAAAACCAGCATACTATAAGTATTGCCAGCAAGGTCGCATGCAATAAAAGAAACTCTGTCCAAGAGCTGAAGAGATCAAACTAATCCACTCATACAATATTCTAGAAAGCAGTAAAGCTGGATCCATGTTGCCATACAGGTTTGAATTCTTTCCTTTAAAGGAGTACAATAGTTTTGAGAAGTGACTCCTCCCTAAGAGGGAGTGAGTGGGGAATCCATCTGCAAAAGCAAACCTGAAATGCAACTTTCAGATGGTTCCAAACTGCTGAGAAGACCTAACACTGTTTTTTCATCTCTTTCCTGCATGGCTGAAAGTAGCTTAACCTCAATTACATAACTTTGCACGTTCATTCTGAGTACAAAGAGACAGCAATGAGCTAGAAAACCCTGAACAGTCAATAGTGAAAGTTCTTGAACTGGCAAGGCAAGAGACATACAAATAATACAGGACAAAGACAAAGAGAAGAGAAGACACATACAATCTTTTCCTAGCCAGAACAAAATTATATATTCACTACTACTGAAAATAATTGATCTTATTCTTATAAGCTGTTCTTATAAGCTAAGGTAGCCTAATCCATCCAAACAATAATGTTATGTATAAATATGCTTGTATTTATTGGGCAGGGATGTTCAGAAGTGGCTTGAGCTTTTTAAGCTGAATAGGACTGCCTAGAACTGGTTCATAAAAATTCTGGCTTAATGGTTCTAAGTTGGTTGTTGTTGTTTTTTAAATTATGTGGTTAATGAAGCAATTTATTAAACAGGGAACTCAGACTGGTCACAATTCTCTACTTAGCTGTCCAATGGGTGTGATTTTTTTAAAAAAGTCAAGATGGCAGAACAAAATGTTCCAATCAAACTTCTGGTTGTTGTTGTTGTTTTAATGTGATACACATAAAAAAAGGCTTCATCTTTTTGATCACATCCCTGTTATTGACTCACAAATCTAGGTTTACTATCATGCTAGGCAAGCTAGTATTCCCTATGGCAGCTGTACATTAAATGGTTTCTTTACGGTCGTCCAGACTGTTCTGTAGATCTAGATGAAGAAAAGCTAGCATCTCTCACAGATGGATGCCCAGTTTCTGCCAAAAGACCACAGTTTCTACCAAGAACATCTAGTAAGTAGGATTCAAATTTGCACTTGTATTTGGCATATTGAATGTGGGGTTAGTTCTGGGTCTGGGAATCTCAATGGTTTATTTACCGAGAAAGTTATTCTTTTTCTGCCTTAATGAAATATCTGCCAATTGTCTAAGCAAGTGACAGCATATGGCTGCTCTTGCTTAGTTTGGGCTCCCAAGCAGAGTTGGCTTGGTGGCATCTGGCTTGGAGGCCTCCAGGGACTACTAGAATTGTAATTCAACTGGGAAGTTAAGAAATCATCCTAGAAGAAAGAGGGGGCAAACCACTTTGTACTGATGCCAAGAAAACTAGATCGGTATTTCTGCGAATCTACCAGAAGCCAAAATAAGTCAAAGGAAGCGTTAACTTAAGCTATGTGGTTATGGCTGTAGCATTGCACTGTAATATTTGTTCTAAACATATCTCATTGAATACATTTGGTTCATATATGCTTAAGTGCAAGTAAAGATTACAGACCATAATGGCTATGCTATAACCATAAGCCAACTACTGAACTGAACAAGTCAGAATTGCTTTAGTCCAATATGTGAAACTGATATGTTTGTCCGCTCTTGAATTATTAGCATTAATTTAAAATCAAGGTGCAATTTTGCCAGGAGAACAAGGCAGGTGAAATATTTATCCTTCCATGGGAGATTTAATTTATAAATATTCACTGCTAGGTTTAAGCATTTTGGTTATAAAATCTTTTAATGCAATAAATCATTTATAGTTAAAATGTAAATTTCATGCATGTCACTTTATGTTCTGACTAATCCTATTCCTTAGCTGAAGAAGGACGATAGTATCAATGCAGAATTACAGAATTCTGATATCTGTTCAACAAGAATTGTTAATAAACCCTGTTACTGAGGCATGAAGAGATGAATTCACTTCAGGTTTATGTAACTTTAACTGAAGTTGAATTCAGGTGTGCTTTTATTCTCCAAGGGCCTTGGGAATATGTTATATCCTATTCTAACCAATAGAAGTATGCATTTCATCAACAAAAATGAACACTAGTCAACCCTCAATTACACATGGTATTCTGCTACAAGCAGAACTCACAAGACACTAAAAACACTCCACTCCAACAACTTCATTTTACCACCTGCCTTCAATTTATACTTTTATTAACTGGACATTAGCCAGACATTGCTTTAGGTTTATTTGTCTGGTTGACAAGTGAAATTGAAGGCCAGTGAGACAAAATTCCTTGACAGTGGCCTCTTTTAGAGGGACAACTGGAGAGACAATAAGGAAGAACAATTGGACAAACAGTTGCAATCAGTTGCTAAGCTATGTCAACTACGTCATTCAAAAGTGATATAAGTAGATTTCGTATCATGTCACTTTTGAATAAAGAGAGAATTAGGTACTTATTGTAATACTGGCAAACAAACAAACAAACAAAAATGACCTCATAAATAAAAGGTAAAGATGCTTGAACAATTGGACCCAAGTGGCCACAATCCAGGAAAGGGTTACAGATTAACTACAGCCTGAAAGCTGAAATGACATCATTGCTTACTTATAATATCAACCTCAGCATTTGCAAGCGGAGGCAGGTTAGGTGAGGAAAAGGCACTGAAACTCCCTGCATCCATCTTAGTCACCCGGTTTCCCCTGTACAGTTTATTATCAAAGTACAGGCACACCTACAAGGATGAGAAAAGAAGCATGTCAGTATGCAAACCTTATAATTAAAAGATCCAGCAGATTAAAACATACACACACATAAAGTTGACTTTTCTTTCTATACAATGAAAGCTTCTTTAGAGAGAGTTATAAATATAATTAGGGTTATGTAGGAGGGTTTTAATCCCTTGGCTGCTTTGAAAAGTGCTATGTCTCTTTTGGATTTTGATAACAAAATACAGGTAAACTCCTTGTGAGATTTCCTTCCAAGAACAGGTTTGGCAGCTCTCAAGGTTTATGACGGATTGCTGAAGTTAAATATATTTTTAAAGGGGATAGAATGGCTTTTAATAATGTGCAAAATCCCCCCAGAAGTGTTGATGGTCGTGACACAGCAGACAAAATTGGATTATTTAGAAAGGCAAGTAGAAAGTGAGTCTACCTAGATATCAGTCAGGTTTCTGGGTTTCCCTCTGAGCAGATTGTCTCAGCCTATTGAGGGTTATGACACTACAGATTAATCCCAATAGAAATTCAGAGTGGGAAACCTTTTACTAAGTAACTCCCCATCACACTACACCAGGGTCAATGTTGAAGAATACTAAAAGCTGTATACCAGACACATGTGGAAGATCATAGATTCATCACATCTGAAATAATCTATGCATTTTCCTATCATATTTTATTCAGATAATTGGTAATTTTCAAGACTGATGAAGTTGATTTTTGACATTTATTTTTTGGTGGCTTTCTATTAAGCAATGTCACACTGAAGTAGAAGGACCTTTATAGTAGTAGCAACTTTAAAAAAAACTAATTGCGAGAATAGGCAGTACCTATACAACCATTAAAATGATTAGGAAATCCAATATTCTTATATGTACTGCAGGAAACTACTATTGGTAATATTAGAACTCATTGGCTCCAACATTCCAGCAGAATCTGCTTTCCTGTAATTTCATGTTCCTTGTCCAGTGCCAAGAACTGGACAACAGAAGTAGGAATCTCACCAATGCAAAACACAAGCTATTATTTCCCATTAGAATTGTCAACAAAGATACTGAAGTGATGGTTAGTTTTTGCCTTTTAGGATCAACTATCAACAGTAAAAGAGTTAGCAGCTGAAACACTCTGCAGACTTGCACTTGGTAGAGTAGCAATCAGGGTCTTGGAAAATATAACCTGAGGTTGGCATATATTGGTACCTATTGTTAGGAATATGGGTCATCTAACAGCTATTTGGGTTAGAAATATATATAAACCAGGATAAACATTTTAAAACTGTATCTTTAAGAAAATGCAAAACAGTAATTAGGTGTGGTTTCTCAAACGGCCATAAGATAGAGCCAGAAACCTGGGTTGTTTTGGTCTTAGTCTCAGAAGAGAGTGTGAGTGTATCTTTGTTTCCTTCTGTTGGAAAGTATTGCCATTGCTCCATTTTTCCTAATTGACTGATATTTTCTGGATTTAATGTAAGACTGTTACTGAACTGTTTTTTGACACTGGACTTTGATATTTGGATTATCCCTGGATTGAAAACTGACTGATTTAACTTGTGAATGACTTTGGATTGCTTATTTTGGACTTTGCTTAAACCTTTCTGGAAGTAAAAACCTATATTTACTGTACAGTGTATCTGTGTGCTCTGTGTGTATTATTCCAACACTACTCTCTATACATCTCCCTGTATGCGCTCATTCTCCTAACGGGAAATTACCTCAACACCTATAAAAAAAAATTCTTTGTGACATTCTCTAAAAGTGAAATAGCAAATATTGATGCTTTTGAACTTTGATATTGGAGATTTCTGAGACATCATTTAAAGCTAAGAAATTGAACAAATGGATCACTGAACAAATCAACCCAGTGTTCTCACACAAGGCACAAAAGATCAGGCTTAGATTATCATACTCTGAACATATTATGTAAGACTAACTTTCAAGAGAAGCTCTATTGCTGAGAAAGATGAAAGGGAAGTGGATGACAAATGGAAAAGGTGGATGGGCTCAATTACAGCATTTTACAGCACAGTTGGAAAACATGAAGGTTTAGATTGGGGACAGACATCATGGATAAAATCTATGTATGTGGTCATGAACAGTCAAGATCAATTTGATGGCACCAAATTGTTTTCCATCATTTGAAAAGTCCAGCTCTATAGAGGCAACCCAAAAGTGAATTTCTCTTTTTTAGCAGCCCTATAGGTGGCATGGTGTTTCAATGGTTAAGAAGCTAGGCTCATTGCCTGGAAAGCCAGCAGTCCAGGTTTGAGACCCAAGTGCCATGTGATGGGATGAGTTCCCATTCTCACTCCAACTCCTATCAACGCAGAAGTTTGAAAACATGCAAAATGCAAGTAGATGAATAGGTACCACTTTGGTGGGAAAGTAACAGTGCTCCATGATGTCATGCTGGCCACATGACCACATAAATGTCTTCAGACAGTTCTGGCTCAATGGCCTTGAAATGGAGATGAGCACTGCCTCCTATAGTCAGCAACAATTAGCAAAAAAGTAAAATCTGCAGGGACTCTTTTTTTTATAGAATCATAGGGCTAGAAGGGGACCTTGGAGAGCTTCTAAAATCTAATCCAATCCCCTGCCCAAGGCAGGAGTCCTTATTCCACCCTGAACAAATATTTATCCAATCTTTTCCTAGAAACTACCAGTAATGGAATACCCACAAATCTGCAATACAAACTGTTTCACTGACTAATTCTTCTCATTCTTAGGAAATTTCTCCTTAGTTCCAAGGTGGATCGCTCTCCTAGCTTCTACCCATTGTTTCTTGTTCTGCTCTCAGGTGCATTGGAGAATAAGTCAATCCCACTTCCCTATGACCCCACCCCCTTCAAGTATTGGAAGACTGCTATCATGCTAAGCCTTCTCTTCATTAGACTAACCATATCTAGTCCCCTTAGTCATTCCTTGTACAGTTTAACCACCAAACCCCTTACCATCTTTGTTGCTTTTTTTGCACTTTTTCTCTCTCTCTCTAGAATTTCAGTATCTTTTTTGTATTGTAGCAAGCAGAACTGGAGGCAGTATATTGAGTGTGCCCTTACTAGTGCAATATAGAGTGGTACAATCAATTCCTGTAATCTTGATGCCATCCCTGTGTTGATGCAGCCTAAGACTACATTGTTGTTGTTTTGGCAGCTACAGTGTACTGCTAGCTCATACTTAAGCAGTGGTCTACCACACCTGAATTCCTCTCATTGGTACTACTGTTGAGCCAGGTACTGCCTATTTTGTACCTGTGTATTTGGTTTTCCCTGCTTTATAGTAATATTGAATCAATAGTGGATCAAGTATTTTATATTGATATATTTGTTTTGTTTTTTTAAAATTAAAGTTCCCTCTAATTGCTGTTTTGTTGCTATTTGCATGCTCTGATATTATTTTTATAAATCAAAATATTTCTGAAACAACCTCTGCACCACCCCAGTTAGGATCTACAACATAGCCCTTACAGGGAACAAAGGATCTAAAAGCAAAAAAATAAAAATAAAAATGAGCAGACCTCAGGAATTACAAACTGGCCCGCAATCAACAGTGCCCCCAACAGGTTGGCTCTGCCATCATTCCTCAGTTCATATATTGGTATCTAGAAAAGAGAAAAACGATAACCAATTGCCGTTCAAAAAAAAATCACACGCACTCAGCAGCAAGAGAGAGCAACTCCAGTCGACATAATACAAAGCGAGTGTAAAGCCATGCATAATTTATGAAACATTCGCCTAACATATGATTTATTGGAACATGGATGCATTTCTTCATCTCAACTATGGCAGATGGTGGGATTTCTCGTTTGGAATGTAAAATACTTTCTCCCACACCTCGTGAAATTATTCTTGAATTTTACCATATTCTTTTTGTTGGAGTGAGAGAGGGAATAACTCAAAGGGGAAGTGGGGTCCTTACAATCCTCCTCAACATCTAGCCTATTCCTTTGCATTTTATTTGTAAGATTTAGCTAATACAAAAGTCAAATTCCCACCAGAGGTTCGTGACAATCAGGAACAGTCTTATGGCAAGCAATTAAATAGCAAATGGTCTATAAAAGTAAGATATTTTACTGGATCCCCTTTTAATTGTCCTTTCTTCACAGTAACCACCATAAAGAGCTACGATGATTTTTTGGTAGTGGTTAAATGAAAGGGATTCATTACTTCTTTTCAAAACATTATTCCCTGATAAAAATCATCCCTTTAAAACTGTTGCAACCCCAGCAACTATAATGCCAAGTGTAAGGAGAAACAATTTGAATCAGGAAAAGGGAGAAGATTAAAAAATAAAACAACAAACTTTCAGCAGTACCAATATCTCAATCAAACTACCGTATTTTTCAGACTATAAGAACTTCCGAACTATAAGAAGCACCTTGTTTTTTGGGGAGGAAAACAAGAAGAAAAATCTGCCTCTGCCTCCCCACAATTTGCTTCCTTGCAGCAAATAGCAAACAGCCTGGTCAGCTTCAGCACAGCCTGATTTAGCATGAGCAGCTGATTGTCGGTAGGATCTGCCTCCCGGGATACTGACAATCAGCTGTCCAGTCTGCAGGGATTGCCATTGCCTATCCCTACCTCCACGCGCCCCATGTGCCCCATTTTTGGCCTTTGTGTGCTCCATTTCTGGCCTCCGTGCACCCTGTTTTTGGCCTCCACGCCAATCCAACCAACAATCAGCTGGTCATGCTAAATCAGGCAGTGCTGAAGGTGACCAGGCTGTTTGCTGTTTACTGCAAGGAGGCAAATTGCTGGGAGGCAGAAGCCGAAGGGTGGGGGGCAGCGGATGGGTGGGGCTTCAGCAATATTCACAATATAAGTAGTGGTGGTATTCAAATAATTTAACAACCAGTTCTCTGCCCTAATGATTTCTTTCAACAACCAGTTCACCAAGCTGCTCAGAAAGTTAACAACCGGTTCTCCCAAATTGGTGTGAACTGGCTGAATCCCACCATTGGGTATCATATGCACAAACATTTCCACCCACTTTTTTTTGGGGGGGGGGGAGTGCGTCTTATACACCAAAAAATATGGTAACTGTCTTTGAGGATATCACCCAGAGAGGGATGGAGCCCATCAAATGGCTAGTGTGATCTGCTGTCATCGGGGCGGGGTGGGTGGGAGTTGGTTTTTGGTTTTTTTGTTTTTTGTTTTGTTTTTGTTTTCCCAAATTTTGTTCTATTGTACTTTACTAATTTATTTGATCCTTTTTGTTAGTTTTTATTGTTTTTTATTTTTAGTTTTAGTTTTAAATATGGTTTTACATTGTGTAAGCCACCTCGAGTCACCATGGGCGAATAGGTGGCAATATAAATCAAATAAATAAATAAATAAATAAATAAATAAATATTTTCAGTTTAAAAAAGAACATCATACAAGGTCATGAATTGTCTCATTTCTCATTCACTGTATCCCATGTTCAAATAGGGGTGAGAAAAAATGTAATAAGTAAGAATTAAAAAACGTATCTTCTAAACATAAATGTATTGCTTAAATGAAAATTTCTTACCTGAGATCCTGTCAAGATTACAGTTTTGCCCAGGTTCTCACACATGAAGGACAATGCTGAAGATGTATAAGCCATTGTGTCTGTGCCATGGAGGATCACAAATCCGTCATACTTCTCATAGTTTGCCTGCCAATTTAAAAAAAAAAATGATTATGGTGAGAGAAACAGTCAAAGGGACAAAGTAATCAGTATTTAAATAATACAAACTGTTTGAGAATTGTGGGGAATACAACAGTATTTAAGGGTCAAGTTGAGGTAGACAGATTTCATGCTTCTTGCATTTATATCAATACAATCAACACCAACCAAGCACAAAAATTATTAATTTAGAATTAAATAGCAGAGGGCAAGGTAATATAAAACCAATGTAATTTAGTTTGCTTTCAGTACCACAAGAAAATGAAACTGAGCTCTCATTTATAGAAGAGGTGTTCTTTTAGTGCAGATGATATTAGAATTTCTCTGATCTCTAAAACAGTAGGTAGAGATGAAAAAATTGTCTGTCCAAATGCACTTTTAAAAGGTTATCATGAACAAACATTCCAAGATGGCGTCCACTACTAGATGAGTTGGATGTGTTGCCAGTTAGAGGATATTCAAGATGGAGAAATGACCGAATGTTGGGTTGGAGACTTATGATCTGATCTCTATCAGGCAGGTCTGCCTGTCCATGTAGAATAAATACTTTTTTCCCATCCTCATACAAATGGATACTAAAACATAAATTGGAAAATAAAAACAAAGGAAGGGCTTGAAAAATCTCAGCAAATAGCCTTTATATCTGACCAATATAAAACATGTGATCAATAATCTCTTCACCAAGACAAATTCCTTGTGTGTCCAATCACACTTGGCCAATAAAGAATTCTATTCTATTCTTATTTATTTGAATATGCCCATCTAGCTTCTAAGAAAAAAACACAATTATTTCTTAAAGAATACAGACAACATAAAATCTAGTGAGGTTTTTTTCAGTCACTAATTATGACAACATTAAAAGACTTGTTCTTCGGTGTATAAATATTAATGATATGTCCTTAACCAGAGGAAGACTGCTAATTAAGAAAAGCTTAGCAGTAGCTTTAAAACAGGAATGTTAACATATGTAAATGAATCATATGGTCTGATTCCTTGTTCTTGCTTTTACTTTGGGGATTATACCATTTATGGGAGCAGACTAAGCAAACTGGAGCTATTGTAATAGTGGATACAGAAGAAATGCCATCCTTAATAGGCACTAAATGCTAATGGAAGACTGCCCTCATCTGTTCAAAAGACAGTACAGAAAATACACATACACACACAGAGTTTTCTTCAAAGAAAATTAGAAATTTACATAGTCAAAGAATGAATAGGCACTTTTTCTATTAGGGCCAGAAATACAGATGCAATTGGATGTACTTTGTCTCCCAAGTGGCTAATAGTAAATTCTAAGATATCATTTGCCAATCTTAAAATAATATGATTAGTGGTACCCAGAATCAAATCATTGATTTCTCTGTTCCAGGACTAATTGTCTGACAGGCAATAGGTTTCTAAGATTTCAAGCAAGCTCTTCTCATCACCTGACTTCTTTTAAATTGGAGATGCCATGTCTATTGCCACTGTACTATGACATCTGACCTCCTATAATCTGAATGACAACATTATTTATATCTAATTATTTTTTCTCTGAGGTAGAATTGGCAACAATTTCTTTGTTTTCATGCCTGAAATAATTACAGTTTTCAATGGAGCAAAGGAAAGTGGATCTAAAGTAGATCAAATTATAGGAGGCTTTCAAATTAGCAAGAATTTCTGGCTTACAATGGCAAATGTATTTGGAAATATTAATTTGTTATTTATTCTTTTATTTGTCTAACCACAAAGTTCTCTGGGAAGATTACAAAATCATGCAGTCAAAATAGTCAGAAATATTAATATACCAAGGGATAAAAAGTCATAAGATATAATAATAATTATTATTTTTTTAAAGAAATGTCTTCAATATCTAGCCTGGTATTAATTGCTTATTTTTCTCAGTTTATTTAATTCATAATTGGAATCACACATCCCAATTAGTCATTAGTTTACTTATATTTGGCTTTCTGAATAGACCCACCATTGGTTGCGTTCATACACCACCCAGCCTAAATCAAACAACCCACATGATGGTTTAGCATGATGTGTGAACTCACCACTCTGTAAAAATTATAATGTAATAACTTGTGACATTTTGCTGAGCTGTCCTCTTGGGTATCATTCTACCTCCAGGAGTAACTATTTTACATTTAGTTCCCATTGGAGTTTATTTACACCACTCTGCACTGTGAAAGAATCAGAATTAACCATCCTTTAATGAATCCATCCCAAATGTAACTCACTGGTTCAAGCATGATTTTAAATTAGAAATGAGCAAGCTGAAATTGGGGAGGGAGGGAAGGAAGGAAGGAAGGAAGAAGGAAGGAAGGAAGGAAGGAAGGAAGGAAGGAAGGAAGGAAGGAAGGAAGGAAGGAAGGAAGGAA